TGAAGAAAAAAACAGCTAAGTAAACTAAACTGAGCTATTTTACCATTAATCTTTCCATTCAAAAGTGGAATCGATCCTGATTCACTAATTGCCTTTGATGCGAACTACCTATCACAGCTCAGCGAGGCATATTATTGGAGAGTATTTAGACGCTTTTCATTTATTTCAGTTGTTAAAGACTATATTATCGTAGGACAATTAACACAACTTAAAATATATGCATTGGAAACTAGACTGGATGGAATTCATGACGAGATAAAACTATGCTTAAAATTTTCAAACAGCCAACTGTCTTGCCACATTTAGAACCTGACGTGTCAATATGTAGAGTCCAATCAAGACGTTTAGTAAATATAGACCAAGATGAATATATTCGTTGGCAAAATCGATGAAAAATTATTACAAAACATTTACGGATGTTTAGTGGTAAGTACCATTGTAGAGACCATGTAGAGACGTTATCAAAATCGTCGTTCATTTCAACAATCGCTTTATGAAGATTATTTAAGGTAGAGTAAGTGGAGACATGAATTATAACCACTTAAGAAGAGAAATTAATAGATCAGAGTTTTCAATTTTATGAATAAACCATCATTAAAGATTATGTTAGGTCGGTTTTTCTGCTTTCAGCAAAAAACAAAAGATTTTCAGGAAGGAATGCTGCTGTAAAGGAAAAAACTTCAGCAAAGAACTGGTTCAAATTAAAATTGTGGAAAATCAAAGTCAAAATTTCATCACAATGCGTTGATTTAATTAGTTAATATTACATTGGATTGTATTGACATTCTTTGACTTTTTTACGTTTCTTATAAAACTAAGTATAGTTAATATAATTGAACAACATTTTTGTAAAGCCTAATGATGATACTGTGAAGTATCGAAAGCTCGCTTTTTATGTAAAATGATTTTACAAAAATGTTTTTCAAATATATTAACTATACTTACATTGGATTGATGCTGATTCATTCTTTTCACACATAAAGACGTCTCTTCACTAACCAAATATTTTCGGAAGCAGCATGCCTTCCTGAAAATCTTTTCTTTTTGCCGAAAGCATAAAAATTGACCTAACATAATCCTTTTAGTACGAAAAATGAACTAACCGTTCAAAATGACTCGGTTGGATATCATTGGATTTTGATTGATACTCTTCATTACTAAAGAACAAAGAGAAAAGAAAGATAATAAGATATAATAGAAATAGCAAAGAAAAAGAACTAAACATTCTGTGCAGGGCCTTCGTACCACTATTAATTGGGTCATATCCTCTCTATGAAATAGTCAGTCACTAAGATCAGTAACAGGGCTTTCGTAACGAATGCTACTTCTTATTGTAAATGAAAGAGAAAATAAATAGAAACCGTGAGAGTGAATGAGTACAATCACAAATCATTTCAACTTGAAAAGTAAACATACACTTCGTTACAAAAGCCCTGTAAAAGACTGCTACGAAGTGTCTTTAACGAATGTCCTGTTAAAGGACATTAATCTTCAGCCATTTTACCGTAAAAAGTGCACACAGACTTCGTTGCGAAAGCCCCATTAAAGAGTGTTACGGTAGCCCTGTCATAGCATCTATCTAGACATTAATCCCTTTACATTATCTTTGTGAAAGCGCCGTTTTATTCAGTTTCACGAAAGCCTTGTAAAAAAAGAGGGGTTCGGATGAAACACCACCTAATTATCATCATCTGAATGTAGAATAATACTTGCACATGGCTTACCGTTAAGAAAGTCAAAACATGGATACATGTATCGACATATTTGTACATGATGAATTTTATTGTTATGTATTATTGAATCATGATGCAGATCTCCGCTAATATATTCATCAAATTCATAATCATCACTATTTCTATTGTTCATTAACCATGATGAAATTTCATCTTCAGTTTTCAATAGACATGTGCATTTAGAGCCACATTCGGTTGTTGGTTTACAGTATCGGTAAGCCAAGATCGTAAATTAAGTTTTGAATATATTGATTAAGACAGTCTAACACCATTTGTTTACTATTAAATAATTAATATTTTGGTAATAAATATTTGAAACTATTATCAATCAAACGTTGTTACATGTTTGGTTTCGGAATATATTGATAATTTCGACTGGATCAGCACGTATTATGGAATGAGAAAAATCTTGACGAAATTGAACGTACTGGGTCATATAATATTCAACATCACTAAAAATTGCAACATTGCCATTACTACTGATAATTCTTTTTACTATATCTTTTAACTTATCATAACTAGAATTTCCATTAGTACCTTCACCATTATCCCAAATATAAATCTGATTGTACTAAGCGTTTTCGTTTTCTGTTCATGTATCATATGATGTTTGATTTGTTATCATTAATAATTGAAATTTATAGGGATAATAGATTTTTGCCTAACTGTATGACGTTAAATGTTTTTATATAAGAAAATGCAAGTTTTTATTCTGAATTATGCTTTGAATTTCAGACCATATCATAAAATATATACATCATAGCGGAACCATACTCCTTCTAATATCTCGTCCTACAAAAAGAACATTAATATATAATTGTTTATCTTCTACTGTTTATAACTCAATGATTTACTACTTTCACTAGAATGCATATAATATTACATATTTTTAAGGAAATCATCAAGTTGAGGCAAATTAAAAATATTCGAGAAAATATGCCACAGGTTTCGTACGCGCAATTTATTTTCAAGACCCGTTAAGTGAAAACATGTAACAGTAAATTGTAATTTTTATTAAGTAATTTTTCATTTTAGTTTGATGACCCCGACCACCTTTAGCAGAAGTCCTATCCATAAAAGCATGCAAATTATCTGATTTTCTTTCCCAAGAAGAAGTTTGTAAGATCTCATCTTCTTTACTATTATAATTTCGTAATACAGCAAATTGCATTTGAGAAATTTAATTTTCTTTCAAAACAAGAGAAGCACGCTCAAACATAGTTGCAGCGGTATTTTTAGCTTTATGTAATAAATGAATTATTGAATCTGTTGCATCTATCAAGCAAATAGTACTTGACTGACTACTGCCACCTGCTTCAGAACTCTTTAACATACTGTATCTCACCCTGATTGAGACTTTCTACAAATTTTTGACCATCACCATGTTCCTTTTTGACTTCTACGACATATCTGCTGCTGTTTGTATGCTGTTCTTTAAAGAAATGATTACGCTTATGATCTAAGGTTTCATATCTTATTTCACTTTCATTCATCCATTTAACTTAGCTCAAATATTAAAAATTTTTCTAAATCTTTATCTAGAATGACCATACTATAAGATCCTTGTTTTCGTGCTGTTCTACCCATGATTTGAGTTACTTCAGATAATTCTTCGAAACGAAATGTTTGAATCATATGAATACCACTTTTGGATAATACTGTCTGATCATTACAAACAAAATCAGTTCCTCATCCAAATTTTCTTGTTAACAATGTGATTTGATCTAATGTTGTTGCACGTTTGATAAACATTTCTTTATCTTTAGATGATATTTGTTCTGTTATGGTAAGAGCCTTCTCTTTTAATGGAGCCAGAAAATCTGAATGACAGAATTCATTCAGTTTACTGTTAGATTCAAAAAAGACTAAAACAGCTCTTTGTACATTTATCATATTATTAATTTATGAACACAAAACGTACATATATATTAAAGAACAAAAGAGATCTGAGTGCAAGAACTGTCGAGAGAAGAATTTCTTCCTAACAAACGAAAGTAGTGTAACAGTTATAGAGTATTGAATCAGATAATAATACATCGTTAAATCAGCTTCTTGAAAGTTTGATTAACAAATGTAATTATCACAGTATTTAAAATAATAGAGAAAAATTCAAGTAAAATCATTTTACATACAAAAGCTAGCTTTCGACACCATCACAGTATCATCATCGTCAGGCGATTTCTTACAAAAGAATTCTGCTGTATATATATATTTGTCTTTCTTCTCTCTCAAACAAATATCAGTAGTCATTCGCCTGATGATGATACTGTGATAGTGTCAAAAACTCGCTTTTGTATGGAATTGATGTCAACTAGAGCTACTGACAACCTCTGACGGTGTCAATAAGAACTAAACTGACAGACGCGTGTCAGTAAACAGTTATTGCTACTAGCGTCAAGCAATTCGGATTGCAAAATTTCGCTACCATAGGTGCCAACTAGGCACTATGGACAAGTTTAAATGATCTTCATTTTACAAAGTGCTCGGTTTATCACTTGTTGCTGAGTTTGATGAGTATAATACAATCCAACATATATTATTAGTAGATCTGTATGGAAGCGATAGCGAAATGTTGTTTCGTGTCTCACTCTCATGCCACACACACACAACCCCGAACAGCTTCAGCTGTAGTACAAGAATACTCAATATCGAGATTCTGATGGGTTTTCGATAATTGTCGAAATTACAAGGACTTAAGACAATAGTAGAAAAACAATCTGAAATTCGACTATGTCGAAAATCAGATTTTACTTTCGACAATTCGTTGAAAATATTCAGTAAAAATGACCATGGCGAAATTCCATCTGTCGGTATTCCGGTTTACCACAGTAAGAGCATGGATACTTTAGTATACGTTCATAGTAAATGTCAGAGGAGACAGCAGCGTGATAGTATAACTGTTTAGAATCACAGAAAAACTCTTCCAGAAGCATCAAAATGTCATGTTCAGTTCTTGTACGACTATTCGACGTAGTTTTTAACGATCTTTCACAATTTTATCTTTGAAAAAAGGTCACACAGGATTCTGACTAATGGTACGCTGAGAATAGCTGGCTTTTATTACATAGAACATCAGTTGTTTTTTCTCGCACGATCATTGTTGCTACCGACTATAGAGCATGTGTTTTTGTGAAAAAGTGTACACCATAATGCACTTTACAACAAATAATGTTATACGTGCGACGCGAAAAAAATGAAAGCGGCACAGGTGTTTAATGTTCGTTCGTTGAGTCTTAATAAGTATTATTATATAGCAAAAAAGAAAAAATGTGGTCAGCTGTAGTTGCACCATTACTATTATTATTAGTATCAACAGCCATCGATGGTCTTCCAAGAACGGATGTTACAGTTTCTGGTATATCGTCTGGAGGTGCAATGGCGGCACAATTACATATTGTATTTTCTCAAGACATATCAGCATGTGGTATTGTTACTGGAATACCATATTATTGTTCACGAGGTAAGAAACAGAAAAAACAACTTGTTCTATATTATTTAGCTAAGATTAGCTAACTCTTTAGGAAATATAATGAATATGAATGCATGTATGAATGGCCCAGCAACTTTGATATCTGTATCATCCATTACGAATAAAATCAATTCTTATGCATCATCAGCGCTAATCGACAAAGTGGATAATTTGTCATCAAATCCAATATATATATTTCATGGTAAATCTGATCATACTATTGCAGAAAATGTTGTTAAAGTAAATGAACAAATATATAAGCCTTACAATGTCCGTATAAAAACAAATTATGATACAATGGCTAATCATGGATTTGTTACAGATAATTATGGTGGAAAATGTGAAATATTAGAGTCAACTCAATATATAAATAATTGTAATTTTAATTTAGCTTATGATATGCTAAACTATTTATATAGTGGTCATTTGATAAAACCATCAACAACATCGACAATATTAAAAGGAAAGTTATTAGAGTTCGATCAAAATGCATTTATAGATCCACCATTACAAGTAACAACAACGCCCTTAAAACAACAAGAGCAGCGTGGTATATTTGATTTATGGTCACAATGGGTAGATGCAACATTACAACTCTATAATCCTGTTAATTATTTACCATCGAATGGAACATTTTTTGGTTTCGCATTTCCAACTACAACTTCTTTTTCAAATAATGGTTTCGACAAAACTGGCTATTTGTATGTACCATCTGGTTGTAGCAAAGGAAAAAATTGTTCAATACACGTTGCATTACATGGATGTAAACAAGGTAAAACAAGCTCATCAGTATAAACTTAGTGATAAACTCGAAAATTTATAAATAATAGAATCCAAAGCAAAGTTCTAGTTTTAAACACAAGGCAAAAATGACGTACGAATGTTTTTTTCGTGCAAAACACCGGTTTTGGTTTATTAAAATTGCTAAAAGACCATTTCATAGTATTGGAGAAAAAGAAAGAATTGATCAGTTTCATAACATGAAAACCGCTTCCGATTGTGATTATTTTAAAATTGAACATCTCAAGAGTTCAAGAGTCATTTTTACAAACCTTTTTGATTTAAAAGCACCATTTTAACTTGCACGTGTACTACACGGCTGGAAATGTTCAACACGTTCAGTCATCGAGACGTGCAAGTTAAAATGATGCACTTTATAAAGATTAAATAAAACAATTTGATGAAAGATAAAATAAACAAAAATATATTTACATGAACGGGCCAAGGGTTAATAGTAATCAAAGGGGACCTAGTGACTTCCGATCACCTTGTACAACCAAAGATGCTTTTTAATGTTTTGAAACTAATAAATCCTTCTCTATTTCTCAAAACTTTGAACTGGTCTTGTAACCATTTTAATGAAGCAAAATTCGTTGTATAAGATGCAAGAGCTCGCTCTCAGACGTGTGCGCGTTCTGCAACCGCTTTTGCTGATAGTAAACTTTTATTGTCGACGCCAAAACTCTCGAATAAAAGCGTCATGAAAGGCTACTATATATCTATCTCCATATGCGACTTTTTACTACTATAGCATATACCTCTAATTGTCTAAATAAGCCTCAGTTTGACAGTGAATACACTATAACACTATAATTTAGTCTCATGCTGGAAGTAAAGTATTGTGTGATATCCATCTGTTCTGTTACTCTAGCTGTATAGAAAAGCTCAAATTTTGCCATTTTCGTGGGATTCTTCCATCCCAATGAACTTTTTCGATACATACGCAACTGTTTTACAAAATAAGAGGATTTCTTCTGTCTATG